GCTTAAACGGTTCGATAAGCCGTGGACGAAGCTTCGTCCGGAAGAAAGCAGAGGCTGCATGTGTAGGCAGGTTTTTTAATTCCATAAAACCAGGTCCCCGACCTAAAAGCTTTCCATTTTGCCTCTTCCTTTTTCATCTGCATATTGATTCTGCAGGTCTTGGCTTTCAGCCATCGCATCGCGAACGTGTCGTAGGACACTCAGTCTAGTAGACAAGAAGTCATCGGCTTCTTTGCGGATGGTGAGGGGGCTGACATTAGCTAGCCGTTTGGCTATTCCTTCACCACCAAGCCCTGAGCCATGGGATGGCGGCGTCAGCGGGACGCGAGGGTGAAACAGCCTGTTCACGTAGAGTGGTGTGTAGCCGGTAGATGCATGCACTGCATTGTTCAGTGCAAACTTTACGAGTGGCAACATGGCGCTCCAGCGCCTCGGCGTCTCAGCGCGAACGCTAAGTAGAACGTCTTCGATGACGCGATTCACGCTTTCGGTTTGACCATCGGTCTACGGATGATCCGCTGTCGACATATCTAACAAGGTGTCGAGCACCTTAAAGATAGTCGACCAAAATGTTCCCGTGCAACAGGGGTCTCTATGAGACAATCGACTCTGGGAGTCCATGCCGTCGAAAAACACGATCTACAAACACCGTTGCTGTACAGACTCCGTCGATGGTGTCTGGCATCTTGCTTAACCGATCGATGAATACCATGACACCCGTGATGCCCGCCGAATCTTTTGACAGGCCAAACACAAAGTCCAAACGCATGGGCTGCCTGCACCCGGGTACTGGTAAGCTGGCCAGCGGCGCAGCCGCATTTGGAGCGGGTTTTACCCGTTGACACTTCTCACACGTGCGCACAGAGGTGCTCGTTTATTTGTAAAACTTGGGCCACCAATAGTGGTGACTCACAGAGTTGTACGTTTTCTCACGACCGAGATGACCACTGAGTGGCGTGTCGTACGCCTCATAGAGGATGTGGTATGTCAAATCCTCATCATGAAGAACCACAACTCGTGGTGTATCCGATAAATCGGTGCTATAGTACAGCAACCCGTTATTCAACGAATATCGGTGCAATCGTGCACG